AAAGATGAAATAAGAAAATAATCATTTGAAATTAGTGTTTTTTAATAAATGTTCTTGAGTAGCAAAGGATAGTGTAAGACGCAAAAACAGAAGAATATATAATATGAACTTACCGCTGTGGTCACTTTGTTCTTTAGTTCAAGGAACGCTGGTGAAGATTTGTTTGCAAGTTGAGGAGTAAAAGTTCTTTCAACTTAAATCCCACTTGATTTTTGGCTCTGTTGTGGTAGGTGTTGAGGTTGTAGTTGTAGTTGGAGAGCTAGTAGTTTGTGATGCTTGGTGGTGCTGATGTTCCAGTGACAGGCGGAGTGCTTGCATTACCTTGAAAAAGGAAATATTTATTGGAAATAAATATAACATTACACCAAAAAAGGTTGCTTTACTATATATTACATTACATTACATTACATTGCATTTAGCTGACGCTTTTATCCAAAGCGACTTACATAAGTACATTCGACCAGGAAGACACAACCTTGAAGAAAACAGAATCATATAAGTACATCAGGTTTCATAGAGCCAAACATTTCAAGTGCTACTCCATTGGCTTTAGGTAAGCCAGTCCTTTATTAGTATAAAAGTGCTTCGTTAATAGTTCTAACGCTCGAAGTGGAGTCGAAAGAGATGTATACATATATACATTTCAGCCAGTGATAGTGGTCCAATAATGAAAAAGACTGATGCTACATCTTTGGTGTAGCTCACATTTAAATAAAATGAAAACATATAATTAATTATGGACTAGTGGTATAATAATCATTAAGTTAATACAAAATATAGTATATCCATGGTGGAGAGCATGTATTACCAGGCAAGGCATTGTTGTAACTGGTGGTGAAGTCATGTTGACTGATGATGAGGTTGGGTTGACTGGTGATGTAATATTGACTGGTGGTGATGTCATGCTGACAGATGGTGAAGTTGGGTTGACTGATGGTGAAGTAATGTTGACTGATGGTGAGGTTGGGTTGACTGGTGATGTAAGGTTGACTGGTGGTGATGTCATGCTGACAGATGGTGAAGTTGGGTTAACTGGGGATGTAATGTTGACTGGTGATGAGGTTGGGTTGACTGGTGATGTAATATTGGATGGTGTTGATGTCATGTTAACTGATGGTGAAGTTGGGTTGACTGATGGTGAAGTAATGTTGACTGATGGTGAGGTTGGTTTGACTGGTGATGTAAGGTTGACTGGTGGTGATGTCATGCTAACAGATGGTGAAGTTGGTTTGACTGATGGTGAAGTAATGTTGACTGATGGTGAGGTTGGTTTGACTGGTGATGTAATATTGACTGGTGGTGATGTTGGGTTGACTGGTGATGTAATATTGACTGATGGTGAAGTAATGTTGGCTGGTGTTGATGTCATGTTTTCTGATGGTGAAGTTGGGTTGACTGGTGGTGAAGTAATGTTGACTGTTGGTGATGTTGGGTTGACTGGTGATGTAAGGTTGACTGGTGATGTCATGTTGACTGATGGTGAAGTAATGTTGACTGATGGTGAGGTTGGGTTGACTGGTGATGTCATGTTTACTGATGGTGAGGTTGGGTTGAATGGTGATGTAATGTTGACTGGTGGGGATGTCATGTTGACTGGTGATGATGTCATGTTGACTGGTGATGATGTCCGGTTGACTGGTGTTGATGTCATCTTTACTGATGGTGATGTTGGGTTGACTGGTGATTGTTGACTGGTGGGGATGTCATGTTGACTGGTGATGATGTCCAGTTGACTGGTGGTGATGTTGGGTTGACTGGTGATGAAGTCATGTTGACTGGAGGTGAGGTGATGTTGACAAGTGGTGTTGAAGGGGCACCTGTGGTTGGGGCTGGAGTTGCAGCAAAAACAACTACAAATACAAATACAAATGTTCAAATACGTTATTGTGTGGTTTTGATAAACATATTCTTGTCACAAGATAGTCAGTATGTCCTCCCAATAATCAAACTTGACAGTTGGAAGATAGCAGCAAGTCTTACCTGCTGCAGAAATAGAAGATGTGTTGACACTGAGAGAAAAAATTGGAGCTGGAAGAGGCAGTCACCAAAGTTCCAGCTGCAGAAGTGGTATTTGGTAATGTATTCCCTTCATTGAATATCAGTTCAGCCTTCTACCTCAACGGATCCTTGACTGTAACACACAAATATTTTGAAAAGTCAATTTTTGATTCCTTATTGTCCTATGTATATGTTTAGCAAACAAGTAGAACAGCCATTTTACAAATGTAATGGCAAGCAATTGTTTTATACCTGAAGCTGTTGATGACAGTACGTGATTGAAGCTGGATCCATATTGTTCTGAATAGACCATAGTCGAGGCTGTTGAAGAATTTGGTTGAAAACATTCAAACCTTTAAGAATAAAGATGATATAAGAAAATAATCATTTGAAATTAGTGTTTTTAATAAATGTTCTTGAGTAGCAAAGGATAGTGTAAGACGCAAAAACAGAAGAAATATATAATATGAACTTACCGCTGTGGTCACTTTGTTCTTTAGTTCAAGGAACGCTGGTGAAGATTTGTTTGCAAGTTGAGGAGTAAAAGTTTTCTTTCAACTTAAATCCCAACTTGATTTTTGGCTCTGTTGTGGTAGGTGTTGAGGTTGTAGTTGTAGTTGGAGAGCTAGTAGTTGTGATGCTTGGTGGTGCTGATGTTCCAGTGACAGCGGAGTGCTTGCCATTACCCTTGAAATAAGGAATATTTATTGGAAAATAAATTATAACATTACACCAAAAAAGGTTGCTTTACGATATATACATTTCAGCCAGTGATAGTGGGTCCAATATGAAAAAGACTGATTGCTACATGTTTGGTGTATCTCACATTAAATAAAATGAAAACATATATTAATTATGGACCTAGTGGTATAATAATCATTAAGTTAATACAAAATATAGTATATCCATTGTGGAGAGCATAGTATTACCAGGCAAGGGCATTGTTGTAACTGGTGGTGAAGTCATGTTGACTGATGATGAGGTTGGGTTGACTGGTGATGTAATATTGACTGGTGGTGATGTCATCTTTACTGATGGTGAAGTTGGGTTGACTGATGGTGAGGTTGGGTTGACTGGTGATGTAAGGTTGACTGGTGGTTGATGTCATGCTGACAGATGGTGAAGTTGGGTTAACTGGGGATGTAATGTTGACTGGTGATGAGGTTGGGTTGACTGATGATGTAATATTGGCTGGTGTTGATGTCATCTTAACTGATGGTGAAGTTGGGTTGACTGATGGTGAAGTAATGTTGACTGATGGTGAGGTTGGTTTGACTGGTGATGTAAGGTTGACTGGTGGTGATGTCATGCTAACAGATGGTGAAGTTGGGTTGACTGATGGTGAAGTAATGTTGACTGATGGTGAGGTTGGTTTGACTGGTGAAGTAATGTTGGCTGATGTTGATGTCATGTTTACTGATGGTGAAGTTGGGTTGACTGATGGTGAAGTAATGTTGACTGATGGTGAGGTTGGGTTGACTGGTGATGTAATGTTGACTGGTGGGGATGTCATGTTGACTGGTGATGATGTCATGTTGACTGGTGATGATGTCCGGTTGACTGGTGGTGATGTTGGGTTGACTGGTGATGAAGTCATGTTGACTGGAGTTGAGGTGATGTTGACAAGTGGTGTTGAAGGGGCAACTGTGGTTGGGGCTGGAGTTGCAGCCAAAACAACTACAAATACAAATGTTCAAATACGTTATTGTGTGGTTTTGATAAACATATTCTTGTCACAGAGATAGTCAGTATTCCTCCCAATAATCAAAACTTGACAGTTGGAAGATACAGCAAGTCTTACCTGCTGCAGAAATAGAGAGATGTGTTGACACTGAGAGAAAAATTGGAGCTGGAAGAGGCAGTCACCAAAGTTCCAGCTGCAGAAGTGGTATTTGGTAATGTATTCCCTTCATTGAATATCAGTTCAGCATCTACCATCAACGGATCCTTGACTGTAACACAAATATTTTGAAAAGTCATTTTTGATTCCTTATTGTCCTATTGTATATGTTAGCAAACAAGTAGAACAGCCATTTTACAAATGTAATAGCAAGCAATTGTTTTATACCTGAAGCTGTTGATGACAGTACGATTGAAGCTGGATCCATATTGTTCTGAATAGACCATGTCGAGCTGTGAATGAATTTGGTTGAAAAACATTCAAACATTTAAGAATAAAGATGAAATAAGAAAAGAATCATTTGAAATGAGTGTTTTTTAATAAATGTTCTTGAGTAGCAAAGGATAGGGTAAGACGCAAAAACAGAAGAAATATATAATATGAACTTACCGCTGTGGTCACTTTGTTCTTTAGTTCAAGGAACGCTGGTGAAGATTTGTTTGCAAGTTGAGGAGTAAAAAGTTTCTTTCAACTTAAATCCCAACTTGATTTTGGCTCTGTTGTGGGAGGTGTTGAGGTTGTAGTTGTAGTTGGAGAGCTAACAGTTGTGATGCTAGGTGGTGCTGATGTTCCCAGGTGACAGGCGGAGTGCTTGCATTACCTTGAAATAAGGAAATATTTATTGGAAATAAATATAACATTACACCAAAAAAGGTTGCTTTACTATATATACATTTCAGCCAGTGATAGTGGTCCAATAAAGAAAAAAGACTGATGCTACATGTTTGGTGTATCTCACATTTAAATAAAAATGAAAACATATAATTAATTATGGACTAGTGGTATAATAATCATTAAGTTAATACAAAATATAGTATATCCATTGTGGAGAGCATGTATTACCAGGCAAGGGCATTGTTGTAACTGGTGGTGAAGTCATGTTGACTGATGGTGAGGTTGGGTTGACTGGTGATGTAATGTTGACTGGTGGTGATGTCATCTTTACTGATGGTGAAGTTGGGTTGACTGATGGTGAAGTAATGTTGACTGATGGGGAGGTTGGGTTGACTGGTGATGTAAGGTTGGCTGGTGGTGATGTCATGCTAACAGATGGTGAAGTTGGGTTGACTGATGTGAAGTAATGTTGACTGATGGTGAGGTTGGTTTGACTGGTGATGTAATATTGACTGTGGTGATGTTGGGGTTGACTGGTGATGTAATATTGACTGATGGTGAAGTAATGTTGGCTGGTGTTGATGTCATGTTTACTGATGGTGAAGTTGGGTTGACTGGTGGTGAAGTAATGTTGACTGTTGGTGATGTTGGGTTGACTGGTGATGTAAGGTTGACTGGTGATGTCATGTTTACTGATGGTGAAGTTGGGTTGACTGATGGTGAAGTAATGTTGACTGATGGTGAGGTTGGGTTGACTGGTGATGTCATGTTTACTGATGGTGAGGTTGGGTTGAATGGTGATGTCATGTTGACTGGTGGGGATGTCATGTTGACTGGTGATGATGTCATGTTGACTGGTGGTGAAGTCATGTTGACTGATGATGAGGTTGGGTTGACTGGTGATGTAAGGTTGACTGGTGGGTGATGTCATGTTTACTGATGGTGAAGTTGGGTTGACTGATGGTGAAGTAATGTTGACTGATGGTGAGGTTGGGTTGACTGGTGATGTCATGTTAACTGATGGTGAGGTTGGGTTGAATGGTGATGTCATGTTGACTGATGATGAGGTTGGGTTGACTGGTGATGTAATATTGACTGGTGGTGATGTCATGTTTACTGATGGTGAAGTTGGGTTGACTGGTGATGTACTATTGACTGGTGGTGATGTCATGTTAACTGATGGTGAGGTTGGGTTGAATGGTGATGTCATGTTGACTGATGATGAGTGGGGATTGAATGGTGATGTGGTGAAGTTTACTGGAAGTGAGGTGATGTTGTGTGGTGGTGACGTCATGTTGACTGGTGATGAGGTGCGGTTGAACGGTGATGCCATATTTTCTGGTGGTGAAGTAAAGTTTACTGGTGGTGAAGTAATGTTGAGAAGTGGTGATGTCATGTTGACTGGTGATGAGGTCGGGTTGACTGGTGATGTCATGTTGAATGGTGGTAAAGTAAAGTTTCCTGATGGTGAAGTAATGTTGACTGGTGCTGTCATGTTGATTTGTGATGAGGTGGGATTGACTGGTGTTGAAGTAAGGTTGACTGTTGATGCCATATTGACTGGTGGTGAAGTAATGTTGGGAAGAGGTGATGTCAAAATTGACTTCTATTGAGGTGGGGTGTTTTACTGGTGAGGTCATATTACCCTTGTGTTGAAGTAATGTTGACTGGTGGTGAAGAAGTCATGTGACTGGTTTGAGGTTGGGTTGACTGGTTGAGGTCATGTTGAAGTGTGGTGGAAGTCATATTTAGTGGTGGTGACGTCATGTTGACAGTTGGAGAGGTTGGATTGACTGTTGGGGAAGTCATGTTGACTGGTAGTGACGTCACATTGATTGGTGGTGAAGTCATGTTGATTGGCGAAGTGGCAATTCACTGTAAGGTAAGGTGAAGGTAAGGGTGTATGAAATACAATTAAATGGCACTGTTATTTGTGTTTGAGGGGACCAAGTTGCTTTACCTGGAGACAATTGTGGTGATTGGTGGATTTGAGGTTCACATTGGCCTGGTGTGGATGTTGGTTGACCGTAATGTGGTTGAGTCAACTGCAAAAGAAAATGTTCATGAGAAAAATTCAAGTAACACATGATAATAATTGTTCAATTGTTGTAGAAGTCCAGTCCTGCTTTTTATTCTCCAAGGTTGCTTTAGGTGTGATCCCTGTTGATCCTTATAAATCACTGATACAATCAAATGTACAAGGAATAAAAAAACCTTTATTCGGCAGATCAACCTAAATATTTTATTAGAAGTGCATATAAGCATGTTTAATAATCAAAGCCTAGTGGCTAAGTTATTAACTCAATATTTTACACTTGATGATTGGTCAATAAGGATACCTGCCATACCAGCACATATTGTGTGCTCATTCATCTGCTGTTGTCTTAAAAGAATGTACAGAAGTATCATAATGTTACCTGTGTTGCACTAGTGGTTGAGGCCGACGTTGTTCTCACCTCTTCTGTAAAGAAAATGTCACAATGATCCAACTTAATTCCGTCCGAAGTAATATTACATTTAAATTAAATTAAATTGTCCCTTAATCTTCCCCCACTCCCCTCCCCTCTTTCTCTCTTTCTCTCTTTCTCTCTTTCTCACACACACAAACACACATACATTCAAATAAATACCTGCACATAAGAGAAGGAATATAAGAAGAATCATCTTCTCTTTTTCCCGTTCCTGTGAAATAAAAGAGAAATATATATATATTTTAATATGCAAAATGTGTCCTAATTTACACTGTTAATTGTCAAAACAGCTCCACAATTAATCCTACCATCACATGTTTCATGCTTAAAGACGGGTTATTCAACTGAATGACCAGTTTGAGGTTATAGTTTAAGGTATTTGTAATATGTTGTTGCTCCCATTTATATCTATTAGGATGCAACATTTAGAAACACCACTATATTTAACTAAATGCAATTCAACAGAAACGTAAAAGTATATCCTTAAAAATCACTTTCATTAAGAGCTTATTAATGATTTGTATGAAAATGTTGTGTAAAACATCTATAAAAATGGATGGAAAATACAACCAATTATTAACAATTTACACATTTCTAGCTATCTATCTTGATAATGGTTCTTTACAAGTAATTTATTAGCCATTTTCGGGTCAATTATGTTACAAATTGTTACAAATTTGATCCATCTATCTATGTTATTATTTTAGATGTTTAATACAAATGTTGTTCTCAAGGTTTACAAATCCTTTGGGAATAATAATTCACAGATATTTAATCTTGTACATAAGTAATTAGTACAGAAATTCCCTCTTTAAAAAGCTAATTATAGTATTTATAATAAACATTATTCATTATCATTGAATTGTTATGTAAATATGATTCACTATTAGCTATCTTCGTTAAATACGTTATGTTAAATGATATATACATTATTTATGTATTAATGATAGTTATGACAAGGTCGTATCCCTTATAAACTACCATTGAATCACATGATGCATAGCAACTTAAAAGTAACAATAAAAGTGCTTTTGACTATGGTTTATACCCTTGTCCTAGCACCTGCCAGGCTATTCAAGTTTCTGTAATGGTGTATGTGTATGCTCTGCCAACAAGACTACTGAAATAATTTTTTTAAATATGTATTTTATCAAACATATAATGGCCTAGTTAAATTATCTTATCCAAATTTGATTGTGATCTGGACTCTGATTCTTACACCAAAGGGGCTTTAACATTTTATTAAAAATCTTATATTGAACATTCATATTTAATAGAAAAACAATTGTATCAACATTTCCAGCCCAGGATTCATTAGTGTCCTGTGATAAACCTTATTTATTCGAATATCAGAATACATACTTTACTATGTTGTCCAATTAGGAACCATTTGGTTATTTTCCATCATAAATAGTGATTTATATTTGTCAAATAAAAGCAACAACGGTTAAATTAATTGAAATTCCTACTCAACAAACGTGTTTATAGCACGGCCCAACCCTGACAAGCCAAGCATTGCAATCCATTATGTTAATTATATTGTTCAATTATTATTTAACCTTTCCAGCCTTCAGAATAACATGCATTACACGTATTAATGCTTTGTTTGTCAGGATTTTTTTGTTATTAAAAATAATGAAAATGAAAGGTGTTTCTTAGCAAATACCTAAATAGTAAGAGTCAATAGAAATGTGCAATTTAAAAGCAGTACACATATTAAAGGAAAAGTGTAGATTGTGAATTAAAGTTAGAAATCATTTGATGCATTTCCGAGCCCAAATGGAAGTTATTCATTCAAAACAGTTTCATTCTAATTCAAAAAAACTTGTACAGAAAAAACCACCAATTAAAATGTTTTACCTAGGCATTTATTATGAACTCATCATTATACCAAAATTGCATACTATGTGGTTTAGCGACAGTCTATTTTAAAATAAAGTGTTAACAGATATTGGTCATGGTTAATTCTTAAAGGTTGAAATGTATAAAACATGAAGGTGAATATTCTTACCCTCGTTGGAGTTCCAAGTCCAATTGTGCAGCAATATTGTTAAATTTGCAAGCAGTTCAATCAATGGTAGAAACTGACACAAAGAAGGCACAACACACCTTGAAGATGTGAAGATGGAAGTGAACACTTGTCAGTGAGTCAGGGCTTTTTGAGACCAGACATTCTTCTTTTTTTATTTCTCAGGAATTACAACAACATCATTGTACAAAACAAACTCTTCATTAATCCCTTGTCAATGTTGTTTGAAGAGATGCATTCTTTCATCACTTGACAAAAGAGATCCGCTCAACTAACTTCATGCTAGAGACAGTCTGAGATAATCTGTTAAAACAATCTCACATTTTTCGAAGCAGACACTTACA